TAGCAGCAACTCTGTGGCCAGGTGTGGGGGGCGGGGGATACAGCGCAGCCTCCTGGGCCAGGGTACCACCCATGGCCTTCGAGAAACTGCCTGTGGTCTGACTCTGCCTCCAGACCACTTCCTGGTGCTACAGGCAGGTGGGCGGTGGGCATCACCCGCTCCCTCTCCCAGCCCAAGAAAGCCCTCCCCACCACCCCCTCCGCACCGGCCCGTTCTCACCTCGGATGGAGCTGCCTCCATTGTCTCCAGGAATCCAGGTCAGGGTGATGGAGGATGCGGAGGTCTTGGAGACCGTGAGGCGGGGCTGGTCGGGAGGAACTGCGAGGGGAAAGCCTCGGCCCCATCACCAGGGAGGACGCTGGCAGGGTGGGTACCCAACCTGCCCAGGCCCTCCCAGCCGCGACTGCCCAGGGAAGGAGGGGTGCGTAGGGATTCAGGGCGGGAATTCCAGGCCAGCTACCAGGCTTTCCTAGCCCTCTTGCTCATTCTCCCCCGACCCCACCTGCCTCCTCTGCCACCTGGCACCACCTGGGGTCGTTGTACTAAGTAGGTTTCTTTTGGGCTGATTTTAGCCATCCGTGCTGGAATTCCTGCCTCTTCTTGGTCCCTGTCTCCACTGCATCCCCATTTGCCTCCCAGGCTCTCACCTTGAACCAGGAGGTTGACAATGATGGTGTCAAAGCCACCTGTGTTGGTAGCCGTGCAGGTGTAGTAGCCAGAGTCCTCGGCCTTCACAGCACGTAGCAGCAGCGTGCCATTGGTGTGGATAAGCCGGTGCCCGTCCATGGACACAGGGATGGCCGAGTCCTCACTGCCGGAATGACAGAGACGCGTTCACCCTGGGACCCCGGTCACGTGGAGCAGGGGAGGATTGCTGGTGGATCCCGGGTTCTTCTGGCTCATCCAGCAACTCTGGCCTCTTCAAACCCCCCAGGGAAGGAAGATCCTTGACCCTCCAGCAGCAGGGGACTAGGGAAGCCGGTCCCACAAGGCCCCCATAGAGCCCAGGGATGCATGGGGGCAGCTGGAAGGGTGGGACCCACAGACTTCTTCCTGGCTCCATGGGGATAGGAGGGAGGCCCCACTACACACCTATCCTTGGTCCACTTTACAGCGGGGGCTGGGTCTCCCACTGGATGGCAGGGCAGTCGCACGTCTTTCATCCAGGGTGTTGTCACAGTGCCCCCAAAGGAGATGATCTTGGCTGGGGCTGCAGGGGAGAGAGGAGGAGGGGCACCCCACTCCAGTCCCTCACACGGTCCACAGCACCTTTTCTCGGGATTCCCTGGATCTACAGCCAAGCCTCCCCCCTTGCCTGACCTCCACCTGGGGCTCGGGGTGGAAGGTAGGCACTGGAGAACTTCAGCTGGGAGTCAGGGACTGAACAAATACTCATCAAACATGTCTTTGGGGCCAGGTAGCTCCTGAAGCTCTAGGGGGTCCAAGGTACGTAAAATTGATTCCCCGCCCTGAGGCTGCTCACGGTCCAGAGGGAAATGGGACTTCAAAACATCGTGGCAGAGAGCAAGTTTCTTTAGTGCGTGCGTAACCATGGGGCACAACGGAGGGGCAATGAATGGTCCTGAGACAATGGATCAACTTCTTGGAACTGGGCGTTTTGATTTGAACCGTGAAGGCGAAGAAAAGGAATTAAACAAGGAGGGAAGGAAAGGCATGCCAGCGGGAGGGCACTGAGGCCTGACACCAGACAAGCATGAGGGGGCGTGAGGGGGCGGGCAGGAGCAGGGCCTGGAGGGGTGAGCTGACCCACCCAACCGTCCCGGGCGGGCAGCAGTGATGTAGCGGGAAATGCTCTTTGCTCACAGCTACATATTCAAAAAGCTCCGGTGGCTTCTCCTGACCTCAGGAGGTAGTCCAGTCTCCAGCTAGGCCACTTGCTGGACATTTCAGAACTGTGCTGAGTACAAGCAGCCCTCTAAGGGAGACATCAACTAAGCCCACATCAGCGATCCCAGGATTGGACACCATAGAATCCAAATCCAAAGGAGAGAACAGTATCAGAGCTAGAACTTAAATGATGAGATTTGGGTGTGCAGAAGCCCAGAATACGTTTGCAGGGTCTACACAGGGGGCCTGTCTCCGGTGATTGACCTCTGACCACAATCGGGGGATAGGAATGGCCTGGTGATCTGACGGAGCACATCGGAGCAGATTAACAAGCTAAACCTGACTTGAACGGTCGAAACCTTGCCACTTGATCTCCCTGCAGATACATTTGGGGCCTGAACCCGGTTTTTAAATTCTATGATTTTTTTCATATTGGGGCTCATCTCTGCTGTATTTTGTCATTGTTGGTAGCTTTCTTGACCCTTTGTTTTGTGTGTTTCCATATTTCCCAGTATAGGGAACCCAGGGTACATGAATCTACAGAGACAGCAACTAGAATAAGGGCTACTGGGGGGTCTGATGAGGAAGGGGGTGGGGTGGGTAAGGTGGGTAAAGGGGAGATCATATCAAGGAATTCAAGAAGGAAGAAGATGTTTGGAAACTGACTTTGGTAGCAATTGTACAACACTGTTTGATGTGATTGAACAATGGAATGGTATGTTGGAATTAGCTTCTAATAAAATGGTTTGGGGGTGGGGGAAGAAAGAAAGAAATACTTGGGAGTATAAGAGAGATGTTTGGACCAGAGGTGCTGGTTTTGGGGTCACCAGGAAGTTAGGGTGCAGATTGGCAGATGCTTAACCAAACCCTAGGGTCAAGTGCGTAAGAGTATAAAGCAGGAGAGGAGAAGGGCAGGTCTTGAGGGAGACAGAAGCTCACTGGAGAGTCTACTCCACAGGAGGCCAGAGAGGGCCAATGTCGTACAAGTAAGCTGTGGTATCAGCCACCTCCTCCCCGGCTCTCCCCAGAGCCAGTCAGGGCCCAAGCCCTGCCACGTCTCCCCTGAGCCTGCAGCCGTGCCAGGCAGTCTGCACGAGGCTGCCATCTTATCATTGGTCGAGGAGTGGTGACTGAAGCCAGGGGCACGACCCTCAGAGGGAGAGTGGGCTCCACTGAGCCGAGGGCCCACCTTGAGGAGAGCGAGGAAACCACGCGGGCAGGTTTGGGGACAGGACACGGAGGCTGGTGCTTTGTGAGGGCTGTGCTAGAGGCTGGGGCCTGAGCCGTCGGGCCTAGGGGACAATGGCCTCCACTGGGAGCAAAGCAAGCCTCAGGGATGAGGCGGGGCTCAAAAGACTAGGTTCCAGATCTGGTTCTGCCAAGAGGTGAGGCCGACTCTGAACCGAGCTCTCTCTCTGGGTGCCCGCACATAGCCCACTGGTCCTTCCTGTCTCATAGGGCAGAAAGGGAAGACGTGCGAAAGGGTCCTAGGGCACACAGTGCCCTGTAGGACATGGGAGAGGGCCAGCTTGTCACCAGGATTCCTGGGTTGTTGGGCCCCTGTCTCTGCCCAGGGAGGCCTCTGAGGCCTCGTCCCCTTGTAAGGAGGAGCTTTCAGGAGAAGGGGTTGGTAGAGATCCCACGAGGAAGAGGAGGGAGGTAAGACATGAGGAAAGAGCCCTGACTTGTGGCCTGAAAGCCCGGGGGCTGCCTTCTCTGCTGCTGCTGACCCGACAACTGCAACCCGGGAGCACGGGGGCAGGTGGAGGCCCCTGGCCCATCGAGACCTTCAATAGGCCGAATACCAGCCTACGGTGCCTGGGCGGGACAGGGGCGGAAGCCACCTGTGTCCGGAGCGAGGGAAGTTCCAGTGACCCCAGGAAGGGGGCTGGGAAGGCATCTGGATATGTAGTGGTGGCGGAAGAGGAACAGGAAGGACCCAGGAGACCTGGAGGGGAAGGCTTGTGGTGGTTAATGCCATGGCCCCAGGGGCAGCCCGGCAGTGCCCTCAGCATGGCTGTGCCCATCTTGAGCTGGGCTGAGGCCTTAAACTGCTGTTCTTCTGAAAAGTGGGGGTACATCACCCACCCCCACCTCATGCCAGGCCATATGTATGCTGGGCAGCGATTTCATGTCCAGGCCCTCGCGTCTGTCAACACCGGGGGAAAGACTGAATTGAAGGAGGTGTCTGGAGATGCCCAGGCTAGAACCTAGGGCCTTTCTCCCGAGTCTCAGGTGCTCTGAGAAGGAGGTGGGACGGAGGCTCAGCACTGTGCTGATGGGAGAGTCTGGCGTGGGGGTGGAGGAGCTGTGGAGGAGCACCACGGCCACCCCCTGCCAGTCCCAGCCTGGCTGGCGGCTGCTGTGAGGCTCTCCTGGAGTCAGAGGGCAGCAGAGGCTTAGGCTTGGCAGACAGACGCAGGAGGGAGGGCAGCGACCAGCCCCTCACAGCCAGGCCAGAGAGCATGCAGCAGGGAGGGGCCAGCCCCAGGCTCCTCACCCTTGCCCGCAGGCTCGATGGTGACCTTTTCGCTGCTGTTGCCCCGGCCGGCGGAGGTGACTGCGGCCACCCACAGCAGGTACTGCTGCCCCCGGTTGAGGTGGGCGATACGGTAGGACAGCTGCTCCGGGTTCGTCTCATATTCACTGGGGGCCTGCAGGGCAGAGGACGTGAAGGACTTAGAAGCAGAGCCTGGCCCTCAGGCGCCAGCTCTTCTCCATTCATGGCCGGGCTCAGAGTCCCCATGGCCAGCTGCGTGGAGAGCAGCAGTGAGCAGACTTGGCATGGGCTTGGCCCCTGGGAGAAGAGCTTGCTCAGAGGGGTTGCTGGGCCTGGCTCTATCTCCCTGCAGACAGATCCTAATCCCAAGGCAGCCGTGGCATCAGTGCAGGGAACGCGAGGGTTTTGCGGGAGGGGGAGAGTTAGGAGAAGGGAGAATAGAGGAGGGTCCCAGGAAAACCCCGAGGGAAAAAGCCTCCGGGAAGAAGCTAAATGAAGGATGCCTTTGCCTTTTCAGGGTTGCAGACAGGCTCCCGGGCCCGCCCAGCCCCCATGTTCTGCAGGTGACAGGCCGTGCCAGAGGGGCACTAGGAAGGTGACACCGCCCACCCTGTATAAGGATCATCATCGCTATAGAGCAGCACATATATATTTGTACGCTGTATATGCAAATCTATGAAAAAAAATTTTTTTAACCAAATGACAGTTTTGACAAGTTGCCAACAAAACAATATAGGATCCCAGTGGTTTTACCAGTTGCTTTGATGAAAAGATTATGTTGCCTTGGAAACCAGAGGCTCAGATATTGAAATGAATTGAGAAGGAGCTTTTGATAAGCGCCAGTTTGCAGACCTCCTGTCAGCCGCTTCCCTGGCACAGGCCGGATGGGGCTGATGTCCATCCCGTTTTGTTTTTTCGGTCAGCCTCGGGGAAGGGAAGGAAGGATAGAGCCAAAGCCTCTTTGAAATCAGGGTGGAAGTCTGGGGAGGAGGAGCAGGCCCCCGAGGCCAGAGGATGCTATTCATGAGTTATCTCTGCAGTCCTGGCTTCTCGCGCACACACGCACACGCTTGCACAGACGCACGCATGCATGTGCTGAAGGACATGGGGTCACAGAAGGACGCTCCCTCTGCCCCGTCGCAGGGCTGAGGGACACGACAACTCATGATAGGAGGATGTCCTATTGGCCCTGGGCTGTTTGCAGCAACATGTTGGGGAAGGTGCGGAAGTCCTATCACACACACAGAGCTCCTGGCTGGGCGGGCGCAGAGCCACCCTGCACCGGGCCATTCAGGCGTCCTTCTCTGGGGACTGGGGTGCAGACCTGCACTGTGCCGAGATAGGATGAGGTAGTGGCTTCAACCCCTGTCCTCCTCCTTACTAGGTGCCACCTAGAGTGATGCCCATGGTTCCCGAGGCCGGGAGAGCAGTGCAGCTCTGCCTTCCCCGTGAGGCAATGGGCGTGTGTGACACACCTTTGTGATGGGGGGGCGGGCATGCTCTGCTCTTCACGGCTTCTCTGTGAGGATAGGTGTGTGTGTGTGTGTGTTCGCGTGGCCAGGGAGAAGAGTCGCATTGCTGGTATGTCCCAGTGACACTCGAGTGTACATTTGTGCAGAGGACATGGGAATTCTGAAGGCGTTAAAACGCTTGAAGGCATTCCCAGATCCTGGATGGCTTCCTTTTAAGCTGGTCTCTGCAGGGATCTCCTGAAATCCAAAAGCACACAGCCAAACCTCCCAGAAGTTGCAGTGGATTGCAGGTCAGAAAGAAACAGAAAGCCATGGAAGAAGACACTCTAGGTAATTAAGTTTCTGATAATAAAACTAAAGGCAAAAATCAAAATCAGGTAGTTTGAATTCATCTCAAATAGAATCAAAACTCAAGGGACAAGCTGGCAAATAGAAAAATGGTGGTTATCTTCCCTATATAAAGAGCACTTACAAATCAACAAGAACCTAGCAATTCAAATAGAAAAACAAACAGAGAGCATGAATTGACAAAAAGATATGGCTAGAAAACCGCCAATACGAAAAAGCAATCAACCTAGTTAATTATCAAAGATACATGACTTAAAATGAGAGGCTGTTTTCTTAAGGTCAAATGGGCAAAATTTGGGGGGAAAATCCCACCAAAACCAAGAACAAAAGAGCCCCATAAAGTTTGGATTAGTTTAGATGCAGGGAACTTATCAGGATTTTCAATCCTGATGAAAGCATAAATCGGTTCACACTCTCTGCAGGGTAATTTGTAGATGTGTACACAGAACCTTAAAAATAGTCACATTCTTTGTGACCCAAGAAATCATCCAGAAATTTATTCTAAGATAACAATGAAATATGCACACAGTTTTGTGAAGTCTGCTCGCTGAAGCATCATGTAATAAGGGTAAACATTTGAAATGTGCATTAAATACGGGCTCATGGGACTGCTCAGCTAGATTATGCATGTACCTGTTTTTAAAGGGTATTTGATGATATGGGGAAGCACTTAACATGCATATTATGTGGGGAAGAAAAGGAGATTACATCATGTTATGTAAATTTGAATTAAAAAAGCCACTGTAATACATATATGTGTCTATAGAGAGATAGAAATAAAGCCAGTGGTAGACAGAGGCAGAGGTGAATGAGAAGAGATGGGACAGCTGTATATCAAAACGTTACCAGTGTTTAACTTCAGAGAATGCATACAAGAACTGTGTACTCATTCCTCTATTATTTTATACAGTTTACCAGACTCTCTACAATAGAACTCTTATTTTTATCATCAGTGAAAAACCGGGAATGCTTTGAAACACTTGATAGCATTTCCAAGAGCGCTCAATGCCGCTTTGTGTGTCCCACACTCCCTTTCACCTGTCTGTTTTGAGGAGTCCATGCGGCGTGCCCACACACTCCCACCACTGTGCCTGAGCACACTTGCACTCACACACACGTGCCTCTAACCACCCCACAACTTATGCCCACTCTGAAAAATTAATACATAAATTTATGTATA